GGAGGGGAGGGAGGGAAAAAGAAAGAAAACTATCAAGAGGTAGAAGGCAAGCCACAGAATGGGAAAATATAACAGATATAACCAACAAAGGGCTTGTATCCAGAATATATAAAGAAGTTCAAAACACAATGTCAGGTGACTCAAAATAAGGAGAATATTTGAACAGGCATCTCACAAAAGAGGTGGTCAAATGACTAATAAACATATCAAAGATATTCAATCATGTGAGTAATGAGAGAAATGCAAATAAAATAACGATAGGATAGCACTACAAGCCCACTGAAAAACAGACAATATAATGTGTTGGCACGAATCTGAGCAGCGGTATCACTCATAGGCTGCTGGTAAGAAGTCTAAACTGATAAAAACCGCCTTGGAAAAGTTTGCCCTAATCTCAACTTGAACATATATATACATACACATACATACATACATACACACATACCCTAAGACCAACAGTTCCACTTCAAGGTACATTCCCAACATAAATGCGTGCAATGCATACCATAGACATATATTCATAGCAGCAATTTTCACAATAGCCCCAAACTGGAACAATACAAATATCCATCAATAGTTGAATGGATGAATGCACTATAGTATATTCATACAGTAGACCCCCCCAATGCAAATGAACAAACTTCCACACATTCAACTTACATGAACCTCACAAACATAATGTTGAATAAAATAAGCCAGACACAAGAAATTATATACTGTTTGACCCCATTTACATAATGTTTAAAAAGATAGGCAAAAATCAACTGGAATGGTTAAGGATTGTGCTTAGGCAATTCTCATTAAAATCAAGATACTGATTAGCTTTAGGGGAGTGAGAGATGATGAAAAAGCTCTAAAAATAGTGTCAATGGTTGCACAACACTGTGAATGTACTTCATGCAAATGAGTTGTACAGTTAAAATGGTAAATTTTAAAAGTATAAAAATGCTAAATTTTCTGTTTTGTATATTTACCCTAATAAAAAGCTACAAAAAAAGTAGATGCATAAACAGAAAAGCACCCAAATACTCACCAGTTCTAGCTTCCATTTCTCAGCCTCACCAGCAGATGAGGTCTTCATAATGTTTGCATCACCGTGGGAAAATTTCTTGACAGCTTCCTGAACCCCAGAATCTTCACCTCTTGTAATCCAAGAATTCTGCGTGTTTCCCTAAAATAAAATGTGCCAGTAATTGCAATCAACATTGCCCTTTACATCAACATGCATGCTTTACAAATGGAATACTAATTCTTTTTTTGTTAATCCTCACTTGAGGATTTTTCCCACTGATTTTTAGGGAGAGAGGAAGAGAGAAGGAAAGGCAGAGAGAAACATGGATGTGAGAGAAACACATCGATTGGTTGCCTCCTGCATGAGCCCTGTCCAGCGCCCTGGCCGGGGAGGAGCCTGCAACCAAGGTACATGCCCTTGACCGGAATTGAACCCGGGACCCTTTGGTCTGCAGGCCAACGCTCTATCCGCTGAGCCAAACCAGCTAGGGCAGATACTGATTCTTATCTGTGATGAAAGAATTTAAAAGCAGACGCTTCTCAACTACAAATCAAAAATCATGTTACATCTTCAGGGTTATATTCTACAAGCACTCCAAAATCAAGTTCCTACAGGTACATGTATATGAGCAGTCATGTATATGAGCAGAGAGGGCTGGGTGTCACAGACAACAAATTAATTTACTCTTAAAATACACAGCCCTCTCTTACTCTGCCTTTCACTTTCCACATCACACAAAGGCGTGACTGATAATAGTTGTTAGATCATATGGTGTTTACTAGGTGCCTGACAATGTTTATGAGCGTCACATATAGTAACTCATTTCATCATTACAACAATCCTACAAGTTTCATTATTATTTCCATCTTCCAGATGAGGAAACTGAGTCACGGGGAGTAACTTTCTAAGACTTTCAGAGGCAGGAAGTTAGCTAATGTGTGGCACAGCTAGGATCCGAACCCTGGCCGTCTGGCTCCAGATCCATGCCCTAAACCACTACGCAAAAAAACACAAATATTTACCTTCAGTAAGTAAAACATGCATGATGACAAACAGAACCGACATGCAGCCTGCATGGCTGGCATACAAAGGAGTGGTAGGGACCACGACAAGCCCTCCAAATGCAGTCCATTGATACCATGTGTGAATGCAAACTCATATTTCAAAAAGAAAATCTGATAATTTAAAAAAAGAAGCCAGCCCGGCCGGTATTGCTCAGTGGTTGAGTGTCAACCTGTGAACCAGGAGGTCATAGTTCCATTTCTAGTCAGGGCACATGCCCGGGTTGCGGGCTCGATCCCCAATGCGGAGCCTGCAGGAGGCAACTGATCCATGATGTTCTCTCTCATCATTGATATTTCCATCCCTCTTTCTTTCTCTCTGAAATCAATAAAAATATATTTTAAAAAATAAGCCAGATACCTGGCTTTTCATTTGAAACATTGTTAAATATTGGTTCAAGGTTAATCAAAGAAACAAAACAGGTCCACTTGTCTCCACCTCCAGGCCCCTCTCACATTCAGTGACATCAGCAGCCCCCAGATCTGCGTAATTTAATGTGTGCAACCAGGACTGAAATACTCACAGTATTAACTCAACAGATAATAACTGGCATCCTGCTAGTGCCAGAGAATACGGTAGTGCCCACAAGACAGGACAGGTCCCCCACAGAACTATGCTGCAGTGTCAGATCAGGCTAGAATGTGGTGAATGGCATTCCCACAAAGTAGAATTCTGAGATTGTGTTCCATATTCTCCTGGAAGGGCAGATTAATGCAGACATTTCTGTGAATACCTACTATGTCCAGACACTCTGCTAAGAGCTCAGATGGTTTGGTAGATATTGAAAAGCTATTCCTGCCCTAACCGGTTTGGCTCAGTGGATAGAGCATTGGCCTATGGACTCAAGGGTCCCAGGTTCGATTCCAGTCAAGGGCATGTACTTTGGTTGCAGGCACATACCCAGTAGGGAGTGTGCAGGAGGAAGCTGATCGATGTTTCTCTCTCATGGATGTTTCTAACTCTCTATCCCTCTCCCTTCCTCTCTGTAAAAAATCAATAAAATATATTTTAAAAAATTTTAAAAAAAGAAAAAAAGAAAAGCTATTCCTACTTTCTGCAGACAGGCGGAATACTTCCAGGCCAGGCGGATGGATTTGGGCTCATGTTTGAGTCCTAGCTTTGCTGTTTTTTAGCTTTGTGACATTAGACAAGTTACTTTGTTACTTAACCACTGTGCACCTTAGTTGACTCATCTGAAAATAGACATAATAACAGTGCCTGGCTAGCTAATGTAAAGCTGAAATAATATAACGTAAATAAAGTGCTTGATATAGTACCTGGACCATCAGAACCATGCAGTCATCAATAAATATTAATTATTGCTACATAACTATTTAAATTATTCTTCAAAAGAAGGCCTTAAGAAGCACTGAAAAATCTCTATTCAAAACCACAACCAAGGACTTTGGCAAGATCTACCATCTACATAGCAACAGACTCATTAAAAAGAGCTCAGAGGAAAAAAGGAAGATACTATCTTTTGATCTGTTTATATTTAAGATACGCTAAAAAGCTTCCTTTATATTACAACATATTTTTCTTTCTTTTTTCTTCTTTTAAATATATTTTTATTGTTTCAGAGAGGAAGGGAGAAGGAGTAAGAGATAGAAACAGTTACGATAAAAGAGAATTATTGATCGGCTGCCTCCTGTACGCCCCCTACTGGGGATCGAGCCCGCAACCCGGTCATGTGCCCTGACCAGGAATGGAACCCTGATCTCTTGGTTCCTAGGTTGATGCTCAACCACTGGGCCACCCTGGCTGGGTGACATATTTTTCCTAATATAGCAGCATGCATAGGTTGCTGAAATGCCTCAATTCACCTACACAAGTAAAAAGTGGGGGTGACAATACTGGGACAACAAAATGACACAGATGACTAACATTAAATAGATCTCCAGGTCACCTGGCACATCTGCAACTATGGCTGCAACATCTGCATTACATTTTAGCTCATGGAATGTGCAGAAAAAACAAACCCTCTCCAGGAGTTTGTTCTCTCTCTCACTGTGGCTGGAGTTTTCTTCAGCAAGTCTCCTTTGCTCATACGGCCAAGCACATGTGCTTTTCCATCATTTCCTTCCCCTTCTGCGTTACTCACTTCTCTTGCCCTCTGATTCACTTGTCTGCCTAAGTTCCGTCCTCCCTTCACTTCCCCTTCTCCCACTTCTTGGCCACTGAATAAATACTGAAAACGATGAATAATGGAGTCATTGTTGGCCAACGGTCTACACATTTGGAAGAAAAGCAAAAGAATATATAGATACCTGTTAAATATGCATATATTTCAATGAGCCACTTCTAAGTACTTTTTGTATGGCTGTCATCTTCAAATTGATATTAAAATAATAAGCAACTGCCTGGCCAGTGTAGCTCAGTGGTTGAGCCTCAACCTGTGAACCTGGAGGTCGGGGTTTGATTCCTGGTCATGGCACCTGCCTGGGTTTGCAGGCTCCATCCCCAGTGTGGGGCTTGCAGGAGGCAGCCCATCAGTGATTCTCTCTCATCATTGATGTTTCTATCTTTCTCTCTCCCTCTCCCTTCCACTCTGAGATCAATAAAAATATAGTTAAAAAAATAAAATAATAAGCAACTAAGATGGAATTTTAACTACTTATATTAACAGTACAATGATACAATGGAGAGAAAATTGCTGATCATAAGCTGAAATGCAATTGCAGAAAAATCAGCTCACTTCATTATTCAAAGTCAACACAATCAGCTACTTCTAAATAGCAAATTCTAACACACAGAAGTCACGGATTATAAATGAAACCTTAGACCCGGGAAATACAATTATAAAAAAAACCCCAGCACTTCACCAACAAGAGCTAGAGGGCACCGAGGTAAAACACTAAGACATGTGTTTTCTTCACAGAATGAATTTACTAAAGACAATGATATCAAAACCACCAAAAGCCCTTGCAAAGTAAAGCTCAACAGACAAATGTCAAAACTTCCCCATGGAAAGCTGAATTTGTCACAAAAAGCAGAACAAGCTCTGATGAACTGCATCCCAGCGCAAGACTGGGGAACATTTTCAAGGCACAAGTATCTCTGTGACAAGTCATAAGGAGATTCTAAGTTTAAACACTATTTAAATATCATCCTAAGAATTACAGAGACCATTTACTCTTCTGTTGTTTAAAATGTGGTCCTCTGAAATTAGAAGCCCTTAGGCAACTTGTTAGAATTTCCTATCTTTAACTCAAAGACTCAACCTGTCAAAATTCCACATTTTTAACTCAGAGACTCAACCCAGACCAAACGAATCAGACTCTCAGGGGATGGAGCTCAGGAGATGGACTACACCAGTGGTCGGCAAACTGCAGCTCGGGAGCCACATGCGGCTCTTTGGCCCCTTGAGTGTGGCTCTTCCACAAAATACCGATTTCTGGCCCTAACCGGTTTGGCTCAGTGAATAGAGCGTTGGCCTGCGGACTGAAGGGTTCCAGGTTCAATTCCGGTCAAGGGCATGTACCTTGGCTGCAGGCACATCCCCATTGGGGAGTGTGCAGGAGGCCGCTGATCGATGTTTCTCGCTCATCGATGCTTCTAACTCTCTATCGCTCTCCCTTCCTCTCTGTAAAAAATCAATAAAATATGCGCATGGGCCACGAAGTTTCAATCCCACTGTACGTGCGCGCCTGCATGTGGTATTTTGTGGAAGAGCCACACTCAAGGGGCCAAAGAGCCGCATGTGGCTCGCGAGCCGCAGTTTGCCGACCACTGGTCTACAGCATCCAAAAGCAAGCAAAGTGATTGTTTTTCACAGTAAAGACCAAGAACTGCTAATATAGGTGATTCTTCTTAAATTGCCAATAAACAAGAGGGCCCATGAGGTTAAAGCCATATTTGAAAGTTCTTTAAAATTACAGCATTTGCAGCCCGGTGGGCATGGTTCAGTGGTTGAGTGCCGATCTGTAAACCAGGAAGTCAAGGTTCAATTCTTAGTCAGGGCTCATGACTGGGTTGCAGCCTCGATCCCCAGTAGGGGTCATGCAGGCCGCAGCCAATCATGGTATGATTCGCTCTCATCATTGATGTTTCTATCTCTCTCCCCATCTCCCTTCCTCTCTGAAATCAATAAAAATATATATTTTTTAAAATTACAGCATTTGCTAAGCACCTAGTTTACTGGAGACGAGGGGAAGATGACCAGTTTGATTCTTGGACCTTCAGGCCAGTGTTCTTTCTGCCTCACCGGGCTGCTAACCAGACTCAATGGGAATTCAGAGCTCAAGGAAAACTTAGAGAAATATAACAGAGATCGAAGTGACAGTCCTGAACAGTTTCTGGACTCAACAGGGACCTTCCCCTATGACACACTTCCTGCTTCCAGCCCTGCTCTTTCCACACGGAAAAAACATGAATGGAATGAATGCTCGGAGAGGAAACCGGAGTGGAGTGTAGGCATCGCTACATCATTTCATTTGCGCATTCATCCCACACCAGGGACTTTTAATGTCTGAGGCCCCAAGCGAATGTAAGCAGAGTCCTTTTGCCAACCTTCAAGGAGAAAACTGAACCAGTTCCGAAGGCCGGGAAGGAGATGGGAGGGAACACTCAAACTAAAATACAATTGTGGTTTTTAAAAACGCTCACAGATGCATCCAGAAGAGTTTGCTCCCTCATCGCTTCCTCTGGCCTTCGAGCTTTCAACTCTTGTTGGAGCCGTTCATTGTCAAGCACAACGACCTGTATCCTATTTTTCATTCCAGAGAGTTCCTCCTGTGAAAAAGCAGAAACAGACATCAAACACATGAAGCGTTTTTATTTGTTGATTACGAGACAATCCAACATGGTATAAATAAAGCATGGAAGACTTATGCTCTCTCCATTTTCTGAAGTACTATAATTATATTTATACAAACAAATGTTAATTAACAAACAAAGAGAAGGCTGGAGGTGTGTGGTAGAAGGACTGCTAATGGTCTTTTCATAGAAGTGTGTGGTCTCTGACAATTTTTTTCTCAACGGATTAAGGCTTAGAGAAAGGCTTTAGTTAAAGGGGTTATCTAAAAGACTTTTAAGAATGAAGTAGACTGCTGAAAACTAAGGTAAGATATATTGTTACTCACTAGAGGCCCAGTGCACAAATTCGTGCATGGGTGGGGCCCCTTGATCTGGCCGGCAATCGGCCGGGGGGAGGGACTGTGGGAAATTGGCCAGCTGGGGGAGGTTGGCTATGGGAGGTTGTCTGTGGGAGTGCACTGACCACCCGGGGGCAGCTCCTGTGTTGAGCGTTTGCCCCTTGGTGGTCAGTGCGCATCACAGCGACCAGTCGACCGGTCGTTCGGTGGACCGGTTGTAAAGGTCGCTTAGGCTTTTATATATATAGATGTTTGAATACCAATAACTTGTTGAAAACTGTCATGGGACTAAATAGTTAACACAGGGCTCTGAGATTAAAAGGCCTGGAAAGTTACAATGATTATCTGTGAACTGGTAGCCAGATGGAGGGAAATTATGAGTGAAATACTTTGGTGGAAAATTCTGAAAAAGTTTTTTATTAACCTTGAAGGGTATAATATGGGGAATTACATATAAATAACAATTAGAATAGCTCCTGAATGGCATCTTATTTTCTGAAAAATGCCAAAAATTATCGATACATTGACGGTACAATTCTTAATCTTCATTACTAGCGTACCAAAAACTATTCTGTGACATATGCAAATTCCATTCAATTATTCTATTCAGAAAAGAAAACCGAAAGTGTAATTGAAAGCTGTAATTTAAAAGACATTGCAGACTTCCAATTTTTGGTCTGACGTTTAATAAGCTTAGAAGATATCATTCCCACCTTCACAACAGGAGCTAAACAAGCTGAAAAATCAACCCCTCTTCTTAGAATCATCAGAACTGAAATCACAGGGAAAACTTTTTTGCCCCCAATGTTGGAGACGGACAGGTGTTCCTGAAACCACAACCCACCAGAGCTGAAGCCTCTGAGCAGAAACCCGGGAATGAGTGCGGGTGAAGGGAATTTTAGAGACAGGACAGGCAGTATCAGGGAAGGGGCCCATGGGGGAGGAGACAGACATGCACAGAGGATAGAGGAATGTTCAAGAGAAGGGGAGCAGGAAGGGGGGGGCGCCAGGTGGGCTTTGAACTTTGAAAGGGATATCTGCAGGAGAGGGACCAATTAGGAGAGCATGGGGGTCATAACTTAAGGAAGGATCCAATTAGGAAGGAACCGGAAGAGACAAATAGCTCCCAGCATTTATAAACTCGGAGACAAAGAGACTCAGAGAAACTGAACTAGATTTTTTCCCCATTAGAAAGAGAGAGAGAGAGAGAGAGAGAGAGAGGTGAGAGGTTTTCCCCATTTAGGGACCCCTCCAAGGGGATCCCCTTTAAGGACCCCTCCCTTGGGGAGAGTTTGTATATGCTTCCAATAATCTTCCACACCTTTATTTAAAATCTTTTAGTCCGCCAATTTTATTCTTCAAACTTCGTAAGACAAGACCCCACAAGAAGAGACTGCTCGCCCTGAACCCCAGGTAACACTGAGCTGGGAAATGTAATGTGTCATTGACGAAATGCTCAGTGTAGACAAGGCTGCACGTTAAAACTCCAGAGGGACCCAGTGTTGGGGGAATCCTACACTTCTGTGAATTTTATCTCTAGGACACCAGGTTCTTACAGCGAAGACTAGAGAACAAGCCCCTGTGGAGGAGAGGGGACGCAGCCATTCTGAAATATGCCCAGAGCCTCTGTTCTCCCTAACCGCCCGCCAGAGGAGGAACTATTTTATCAGAGTCTAACTAACTGGTTTTCTCCGGTCCTAACCGGCCTGGGGAAGGGAGATACCCATCTCCGGCTCCCTCCAGCCTTCCTGTCTCACTGCAGGGAGGGGAAGACGGACACTTGAGAAAGTCATGGCCAGGGGCAAGGCTGACTAAAAACCTGAGCCCTAATCACAGGACCGACACTGCTTCCCAGGCTCCCAGGGCCACCACCACATCAAAGGGCCTCCTATGTAATGACAGGGGAATGCACTAAAATAACTGTGCATCTTACACCATATTCTAGAAGAATCCCCAAGGGAAGCCCTACGGCACCAAGGAGACAAAAGCCAAGAGACTAGAGGCAATGTTGGCCTCTGCCACCTACAGCAACAGCAGACAGCACACACAGCCTAACTCCCAGCCAAATAAACATGAAATCTCACACTAAATGCCCACTTCCTTCTGTGGACGAAAGAGGCCATATGCTAACCTGACTAGTTCAGGGAAGGCCTGCATGGCAGGTGTGCCAACTCAAAGACCTAAAAGAACCACAAAAGGTGGTCTGAAAATTAAATACTCAACTACAAACAGGTTATGGTGGTTAGTCATGTCCTAGGCCAGTATTTTCCCTGACAAAGATCAACTTAGATCTTTACTGAGCCCGTCTGTCTTTTTGCCTCTAAGATAATACATCTGCGAGATGTCTGGGTAACTTGTAACTTCCTTTTTTTTTTTTCAGACCCCTCAAGGCACAACAAATGGCAGCAGGACATTCCCTCGTTGTTATTGTTATCAAGTTAATTGTCAACTGTTAATTATGTAAAACTATGCTGCATCCATCTGTGTAAAAGAAGCATATGTCCATCATTTCACTTTTTATCCTATCCCAGAGGTTTCGCCCTCCGCCCCTTTGCTTTCTCCCACCTCCTTAATCTATTACCAATAAATTTCATGTAACCCACTTAAGTATTTTCCTTTTAAATTCATAAAAACAAGGTATGAACTCCTCATTCTCCGGAGCATTATCTCAATTCGTTGAGGTTCTGCTTCCCGGCATATATCGACAGTTTGGCTCAAATAAACTCACAAAATTCTTTTTTTTTTAATAAAATCTTATTGTTCAGATTATTACAGTTGTTCCTCTTTTTTCTCCCCATAGCTCCCCTCCACCCGGTTCCC